TCATGTTGCTAAAGTCACTTCTTTGTTATCTACATCCTTTGTTAACCTGTGTCTTTGTCTAGCTCATTTTAGATACCTATTCTGATTAATTTTTTGGGTAAACTTTATTTTCCTAATATGTATTAATGTACTAGTGTATTAATCAGCTCTACTCTTTATCTGTTCATGTCATCATTAATTTTTACTTTTATTGAGAGGGGAAGATATTTTTGCTTTGACTTTAAGAAAATTTTCTTGTTCATGACAGAACTCTAAACCTCCCCCTTTTGCCCTTATCATTCTTCTCTTCTCCCTTCTAACGTTCTTCTCCCCCAAGCATTCCCTTTCCAGAACCTCATTCGTGTATCTCACATGCACTTTAATGTTCCTTCTATGGAGTTTAGGCACTTGTCTCTGGACACTTGCTCTTCACATAGGGGACTTTACATTTCTGGTTGTGGTTTAATATCCTATTAGACCTGTTGCTAGTTTTCCTTTTTTGTCCTCCACAAACTTTCTTGCCTGTTTTGCTTTCTGCTGAGGCATGTACCTGATGCTTTGTGCATGGGAGAGTGCCTGATAGGATTTGGTAGTTTGTTCTTGTGTTTATTTAGTGATATCTGCTGTTAAGTTCATTTTAAAGGTAAAGAAAATGCAGCTCAGAGTTGCTAAATGGCATGCACAAAGGCTGTCAAAAACAGAAGTGAGGATTGAATATCAAGCCTCTGTCACCTTTGCTGCATTGCCTCTTTGTAGAGCCCTGCTTACACTTCAAGCATAGTGTGCATCCTTCCTCTTCTTGGAAGCTTCCCAGAGCTCTGTGGCAGAATGAATGTCCTCTGCCATTGCTCTCCCTTTGCACTGGCCCTTAGTGGAACAGCATCTGAGTTAAGAGGGATATCAGGACCATTCATACCTTTTTAATCACAGTTTTAATATTATTATTGTGCAGGTAATGCCACATTTGGGCTTTGAACCCAAATCTTGCCCTTATACATCTATCGACTTCATTTCTAGAGTAGTGGTGAGACAGATGGGCTGATGGCTGTGAAAGCCAGGAGCTGGCACCAGTGAGATTTCTCCTCTGTGCTCCTTTTCTTGCGCTATTAGCTCTTTGTCACAGGCTCACACGTGGTATGCACGCTCTTTCTCTTCAATGTTTGTTAAAGGAGATGGTTGTAAATTACTAGCTAGTTTTAAATGTGTTGCTCAGTAATGCACCATACTTATTTTCCTTTGTAGTTTCTCTCTCTCTCTCTCTCTCTCTCTCTCTCTCTCTCTCTCACACACACACACACACACACACACACACACACACACACCACCTCTGGCAAACACCAGTCTGTTCTCTGTATCTTGAGTTGGTGGGTTTCTTTTCCAGACTGTACATGTATTCCACTTATGATACGGTGATTTTGATTGTTCATGTTTTCTGATGAGTTAATATTTTTCCCTTTTTAAAAAATTTTATTTTTTTAATGTTTTTTTTTTTTTCTGAGAGAGAGAGAGAGAGAGCGAGCGTGAGCAGGGGAGGGTCAGAAAGAGAGGAAGATACAAAATCTGAAACAGGCTCCAGTCTCTGAGCTAGCTCTCAGCACAGAGCCTGACATGGGGCTCGAACCCATGAACCATGAGATCATGACCTGAGCCGAAGTTGGACGCTTAACCGACTGAGCCACCCAGGTGCCCCTAAAAAATGTTTGTTTGTTTGTTTGTTTTGAGAGAGAGTACAAGCAGTGGAGGGGCAGAGAGAGAATCTTAAGCGGTTTCTGTGCTGACAGTACAGAGCCCAGTATGGGGCTCTAACTCATGAACCGCGAGATCGTGACCTGAGCTGTAACTAAAAGTTGGACATTCAACTAACTGAGCCATCCAGGCTCCGCAATATTTTTTTTCCTAAGGAGGCAAATGAATTTATATTATTACATGTCTTTGATAGAAATTCTAAATTATATGCTTCCTGTGGTGGGTTTTTTTTTTTTTTAAGTTTATTTACTTGGAGCAAGCTGGGGAGTGGCAAAGAGAAGGAGAGAGAGAGAATCCCAAGCAGACTCCACACTGCCAGTGCAGAGCCTGATGCAGGGCTCAAACTGATGAACTATGAGATCATGACCTGAGTGGAAATCTAGAATTGGACACTTAATTGACTGAACCACCTAGGTGCCCCTCATTTTTAATATTAACTCTACTGTTAGTCTAAACTAATTGGGTTTGGAAAGAATTTACATATAGTAATAATTATATCTTTTTTCTTTCTAGCTCAGTCTTTGTCTATATGTATGTATATGTGCTTTTTTAAAATTCAGAATATAAGGGCTCCTGAGTGGCTCAATTGTTTAAGCATCCAATTTTGGCTCAGGTCATGATCTTCTGGTCCGTGAGTTTGAGCCCTGCGTCAGGCTCTGTGCTGACAGCTCAGAGCCTGGGGCCTGCTTCGGATTCTGTCTCCCTCTCTCTCTGCACCTCCCCCACTCACACTCTGTCTCCCTCTCTCTCTCAAAAATAAATTTAAAAAAAATTTTTAAACTCAGAATTTAAGGTGGTACTTCATATATATAGTCCTGCCTTTTTAACTAATACTGTTGATATATTTTCACTTCAGTAAATACGTTTTAAAAATTTTAGTGGCTATGTAAAAATCCAGCATAAATGTATTATAGTTTGTTTAATAATCAGTTTAATTCTTTGTTCATATGTCTGATTTTTTGGTCCTAAAATGTGTTGATAAATAGTTTTGTATAAAAGTCTGTGCATTGGGGCGCTTGGGTGGCTTAGTCGGTTAAGCGTCCGACTTTCGCTTAGGTCATGATCTCGCGGTTCGTGGGTTCGAGCCCCGCGTCGGGCTCTGTGCTGACTGCCAGCTCAGAGCCTGGAGCCTGTTTCAGAGTCCTTGTCTCCCTCTCTCTTGACCCTCCCCTGCTCACGCTGTCTCTCTCTCTCCTAGAAATAAATAAAACATTAAAAAAAAAAAAAGTCTGTGCATGAATCCCTGTTTCTTTTTTTAATGTTTGTTTATTTTGAGAGAGAGAGTGCCAGAGCATATGCATGAGTTGAGGGGCAGAAAGAGAGAGAGGGAGGGAGGGAGAAAATCCCAAGCAGGCTTCACTCTATCAGCACAGAGTCTGATGTGGAGCTTGATCCCACAAACTGGGAGATGGTGACCTGAGCCAAAATCAAGTTGGATGCTCAACTGACTGAGCCACCCAGGCACCCCTTGGGCTGGATAATTTTTTTGTTGTGGGGGGCTATCATGTTCATTATAGAATTTAGCAGCATTCCTGGATCTACTCACCAGATACCAGTAGCATCCCCTTCAATCATGACAACTTAGAATGTCTCCAGTCATTGCCAGATATCGGGGCAAAACCACTTCCAGTTGAGAACCACTCTAAAATCATAGTTCTAACCAGTTTTGCCAGATTCTTTTAGCTGTTTTTTCCAATAGAATATAAGTTCCTTTGAGGGCAAGGACTATACCTTTTTATTTTTATTGTTTTAGATCTTCAGCATTTAGCTGTTGTCTGATATAAAGATAATCAGTAAATATTTGTTGAGTGGATTGAACATATTTCAGTATAATGGATCCAAGGTATTTCATGACATACAGGCCCCATTATAAACTGGGACTTACGTTAATTATTAAATGTATAAAGGCTTCTGGAGGTAATTTTACAAAAGGAAAACACATCTGATGGGGTTTTTTTTTTTAGTGGTTTTTACACAAGCCAACAAATATCCCTTGTGTTTTTCTTTATAATGGATATCTTGTTTGGTTACTTTGTTAGACCTTGCTTTTGTTTGGATGTTACATGTTTTGAAGTTCAAGTCCAGAATTAATAAACATAGGATTTGTGCTGTCTCGATATGGAATACAAAATGATATACACCCCCTTGTGGGTGGAGGAGGGGTGGTTTTGTTGACTGTAAGTCTTCTGTTCAGTGAAAGTCTTGATAAATAGCCTTCTGTTGAATTTTAAAGTTTTTTTTTTCTTGGACTTATCCCCCTTAGTATATTTGTTAGTATGTGAGTAAATATTAATATTTCTATGCAGTAGTTTTTTTCCCAAAGGCTGAGACAGGAAGCTCTGAGAATTGAGGGAAGAATTAAAAAAAAATTTTTTTAAGGTTTATTATTTATTTTTAAGAGAGAGAGAGAATACGAGCTGGGGATGGCCAGAGAAGAGGGAAACACAGAATCCCAGGCAGGCTCCAGGCTCTAAGCTGTCAGCACAGAGCCCAACGTTGGGCTCAAACTTACGAACCATGAGATCATGACCTGAGCCAAAGTCAGACACTTAGCCAAATTGAACTACCCAGGCACCCTGAGGGAAGAGTATTTTTTGAGTTAGGTTTTAAATTTGATAATCTTTTCTCATCACTACCCTGATGAGATTTTTAGGAGAAGTAGGAGGCCTTGCTGCTACTTAGTTTTATATCAACCTGTTCCTACACCAATAAATACTCATTTTAACCATCACCAGCGTCTTTGAGGTCTGCCTTGAAGATCTCAAATCCTCACCAGTGGTGGCTACCCCATTCTAAGCTGTTTCCATCTCTTGTCTGGACTAAGTAATAGCCTTCTCTTTGGTCCCTTGCTTCTACTATTATCGTCCACCAGTCAGTTATTTACACAAACCAAAGTGATCTTTAAGAAATATGAATCAGGGGCACCTGGGTGGCTCAGTCAGTTAAGTGTCTGACATCGGCTTAGGTCATGATCTCACAGTTTGTGGATTCTAGCCCCGCGTCGGGCTCTGTGCTGACAGCTCAGAGCCTGGGGCTTGCTTCAGATTCTGTGTCTCCCTCTCTCTCTGCCCCTCCCCTGCTTGCTCTCTGTCTCTCAAAATAAAATAAAGACATAAAAAAATTAAAAAAAAAGAAACATGAATCAAATTATGTTATTTGCCTATATTAGAAAACCATTCTGGTTTATAATTTCAGCTAATCCACCTATAATTGATGTTAGTTTCTGTACTAATTTCAACTTGAAGGTAGTAACTGTGTTTCTTATCTTTTTCCAGGAGGAACAACACAGCATGCTGGGCTCTGGATTTAAAGCTGAGCGTTTACGAGTCAATTTGAGATTAGTCATAAACCGTCTTAAACTATTGGAGAAAAAAAAAAGTGAGCAATGCATGATTTCTTTGTGTTTTATTTCCCAAAATACATCACCAGGTTCTAGCACTCTAATATTTGGCTGTTAGGCTAGTACTATAAAGTCTTAGGGATCCCATATCCTTGAAGCTTTAGATATATACTGCTGCCCTTTGTGACATGTTAGACTGAATCACTTTGTTGCAGGGAATAGGTAGCATGATTCCTGAGTTGAACATTTCTGGCTACACAAACAATATTCTCACCTAGACAGAGGAGGAAATTCTAGAGACTAGATGAGTTGGGTCTGGATTTGCTAAGAGAGAGTGAGCTAGGTTGTAGAAGAAACCCATTTCTCTCTGTTGGGGTGGAAGTCTCCTGCAGGCCAGGTGGCCCAGTGTACTGCTATTATGTGACTGGATGCAATTTGTAACTTAGCGGAACTGGCCCAGAAAGCAAGGAAAGAGATTGCTGACTATCTGGCTGCTGGGAAAGATGAACGAGCTCGGATCCGTGTGGAACACATCATCCGAGAAGACTACCTCGTGGAGGCCATGGAGATCCTGGAGCTCTATTGTGACCTGCTGCTTGCTCGGTTTGGCCTCATCCAGTCTATGAAGTAAGATATTTTGTCTTTTTTAAATCTATATTTAGGTATGGCTTTTAGAAAAAACTACATATTTTAGGCATACATTTTGATGAGTTTGGATATATGCATACACCTGTATACTATCATCACAATCAAGGTAATAAAATTTGTTTCCTCTGGAAGTTTCCTTGTGTCCCTCCCTTTCTCCCTCTTTTTTGGTAAGAATACATGACATTAGGTCTCTACTCTCTTAACGTTTTCAAATTTATTTAATATTTATTTTTAAGATAGTATTGTGTGTTTTAATTTTTTTTAATTATTATTTTTTTAAGTTTATTTACTTTGAGAGAGAGAGCAGGGAAGGGGCAGAGAGAAGGAGAGAGAGAAGCCAAGCAAGCTCCGCATCATCCACCCACACAGCCTCACAAACTAGGAGATCAGACTCACAAACTGGGAGATCAAGAGTTGGGTGCTTAACTGGTTGAGCCACCCAGGCACCCCTGTTTTTAATTTTTTAATGTTTATGTGTTTTTGAGAGAGAGAGAGAGAAAGCAAAACACAGAATCCAAAGCAGGCCTTGGGCTCTGCTCACGCGGTGCTCCAACCCATGAACCATGAGATCATAAACTGAGCCAAAGTCATATGCTTAACCAACTGAGCCACCCAGGCGCCCCATACCCTCTTAACATTTTTAAGTGCATAGTACAGTATTGCTAACTATAGGCATAGTGGTGTTCCAGAGGTATCTAGAATTTAATTCATTTTGTGTAAGTGTAATGAAATAAAGTATTTTGAAGACCTAAATCAAATCACCTCTTTGAGAGAGGGAATTTGTGAAAGCATTAATACTGATCTCTAAAACATGCGAGCGTCTAGACTACTTTACATACCCAAGGACCTTTTTCCTCATGGCTTTGCTGGAAGGCAACAGTGAATTGATCTCAGTGTAAACTATTTTTGAAAAGAAAGGAAGAAATCTGAAATCAAAGGCCTAAGTTTGAGTCTTGGCTCAGCCATTTCCCAATTTTTTGACCGTGGGCATGTCAGTTAGTTTGAGTTTCACCAAAAGTAAAGTAGGAACCCTAGAGTAATTTGTGAGAATCCAATGAGATTTGTGAAAGAGCTTTCCAGGGCTATCAATTATGATACAAATGGTAGGGTTTATTGGTTTGTTTTAAAGAATGTTAAATTTTTTTTTTAAATGTTTTTATTTATTTCTAGGGGAGAGAGAGAGAGCGTGAGCAGGGGAGGGTCAGAGAGAGAGGGAGATACAGACTCTGAAATAGGCTCCAGGCTCTGAGCTGGCAGTCAGCACAGAGCCCGACGCGGGGCTTGAACCCACGAACTGCGAGATCATGACCTAAGCGAAAGTCGGACGCTTAACCGACTAAGCCACCCAGGCGCCCCTAAAGAATGTTAAATTTTACTAAATTTTTTCCTTACTTAGGGAACTAGATTCTGGTCTGGCTGAATCTGTGTCTACACTGATATGGGCTGCTCCTCGACTCCAATCAGAAGTGGCTGAATTGAAAATTGTGAGTACAACCAGTTTCAGTGATATCTGTAGTTTGTCATATTGTTAGGTTGGTTAACAAGTCATTTCTGCTTTGATCGGATATTTTGTACCCTTCTCATTCATGCTGCCTTTGAAACAGGCTTTATAAATTTGTAAATTTGTCTCTACCTCCTTTTCAGCCCTCATATAATGCAACAGAACAGTGTTTTGCAAACCTGAATAATTTTTTTAAGGCATAAAGTACTGTGTACCTTCAGTTTTGTCTTATTTTTATTGTAATGTTAATTTAAGTATATTCAAATAGAAAAGTTCTTGGACAGCTGTAAACTGGAAAAGTTAACGTTAATTTAAGGTGACATATTTTGCTTCATTCATTAATTCCACAAATATTTATCAAGTTGATTTTATGAGCTAGGTGGCACTGAGGGTACAGCAATGGGCAAAATATGATACTAGCTCTACTCTTGTAGCTTAGAATCTAGCAGAAAAGACAGACATTAACTAAAAATTTTCTAAAAATTGTCTCCTCACAACAGGGATATAGTACTGACTGCTAGGATATAAATTCATTTGGGTTGTTAACTATTTTTCATCTTTGCCTTTTTGTTTTATTCTCTAGATTGTCTCAGTCTTATCGCTTGACCCATCTTTTTTTTTTTTTTTTTAAGTTTAGATTTGAGAGAGTGTGTGTGGGGTGGGGTGGCAGGGGCAGAGAGAGAACCCCAAGCAGGCTCTGCGCTGATACCCTGAGCCACAGACCATGAGGTCATGACCTGAGCCGAAATCAGGAGTCAGACAGTGAACTGATTGAGCCACCCAGATGCCCCTTAAGATATCCTTGTCTTCTGTATGTTTTCATTTATTTTAAAAAAAATTTTTAACTATTTATTTTTGAGAGAGAGAGAGACAGCGGGAGTGGTGGAGGGGCAGGGAGGAAGGGAGACACAGAATCCGAAGCAGGCTTCAGGCTCTGAGCTGGCAGCACAGAGCCTGACACGGGGCTCAAACTCATGAACCATGAGATCATGACCTGAGCTGAAGATGGATGCTTAACCAACTGAGCCACCCAGGTGCCCCTGTATGGTTTTTTTTTTTTTTTTTTTTAAAGAGCTCTTCTTAATACTCGGAATATTTACTTTATAGTCTGTTTTTGTTTCATAGCTGTCAATATTATAATTTCTTATTAGCTTTTCTTGTTTCTATAATGATTGTTTCCTTCTTTTTGTTTTAGACTATTTTATAGTAGAGGCTTTTGCACAAGTTTGGTTACTCTTGGCTCTTGGTTTATATTTACATGTGAGACACTAAAAAAGTGGCTTGGAACCTCTTGTGTGCCTGGGTGGGGCATATTGCCAGAAGCATTTATTGTTGAATGATTTAAGCCCTTTTTTAAGGAAACTCCATGGAGTTTTAGGAACTTGGTTTTTAACCTTGGTATGATCATTTCCCTCGGAGAGGAATCCTATTTTCTACCTCAAGGGTGTAAGCTGGCACCCAGAATTTCTGAGAACCATGGGAGGAGGAAACCAAAGGTCTAATTCTTCTCTTACAGAAGACTGACTTTTTCTGTTGTCAGTAAGTATCCTTGCTCTCTGCTGTGCTTGGAGTCCAGAGTCCCTTTAGTTTAACCTCCCCAGAGTAAGCCTCTTATATTCTATTCCTGTAGGGATGGTAGTCATAAGTCATAGAGTTTTGTGGGTAGAGTAATGGGAGAGTAGAGGGCACTGGTTCTTTTTTTTTTTTTTTTCTTTTTTTAACTAAGCTCTACATCCATTGGGGGGCTTGAACTCACGACCCTGAGGTCAAGAGTCACATGCTCTACCAACTGAGCTAGCCAGGCAATTGCTTCTTACGTAGACTTTTAATTTTAGTCTCTTTTTTCTTTTTTTAGTTTTTTTTTTCTTTTTTATGTAATCCCTGCACCCAACATGGGGCTTGAACTCGTGATCTAGAGTCTCATGCTCCCCCAACTGAGCCATCCAGGTGCCCCAGCCTGTCTCGTTTTAATGTCTCCTATACTCTTCCTTTATATCAAGATTTATTCAAGATGAAACATATATATATATATATATTTTTTAATGAACTCCTTAAAAACTAGAAAAAACCTAGGCGGGTTTTAAAAAATCTCATAGTGGGAAAGGCCACAAAAGACATAAAGTGATTAACATAATAAAAAAATTTCTGCATAGTATACAGCAACCAAAACCATTATCAAAAGACAAGTGACTAAATTACATCATCAATACTGGGTCTATATATTCAACAGTGAGTGCCTCCTCACTGAGCTCTCAGGTGTTGGGACCACTCTGATTCAATGCCAGTCATCTCCTGCCTGGACTATTATAGTAACTTCTTGAACCTTCTTCCTATATTTACTTTGGTTTCCTTTGGTTTGTTCACCATTCCATCAGAACAGCTTAGGGTTTTATTGAAAACACAGATCTGATCCTGTCACTGCCTCTTGCTTTAAAGCCCTTTAGTAGCTGTTGTTCTTGTGATAGAAACAAAATTCCTAATATGGCTTATATGGCTCTGCATTTTCTGGTCCCCACATGCCTTTTTTACTTCATTTCCTGTCACACTTTTCCCTTAGGCTCAAAACTGACTTTATTTCAGCTTGAGGATTGGCCTGGTTTTTCCACCAGAGGCCTTTGCACATGCAACAACATTTTCCTAGAATGTTTTTCCTTCCCTGTGTTAACTCTCAATCATCCTTTATGTTTCCATGAATCACTTTCTTCAGGAAGCCTTACCTGGTTTTTTTGATCAGATCTGATTTTATTGTTACAAGCTATTGACACTGTGGTATACTTTGCCTTTGTGGCACTTATTACAACTGCATTTGTATCTTTATTTGCGTGATTAATGACTGTTTTCCTCAGATTATAAGGCTCTATAAGAACAACGTCTGTTTTTCCTGATTGTGTTAATAGCATATATCATGTTTGTAATGGAATTTGGCGCATACTTACAGCTCAGTGGCTGGATGAACAAATGTGAATTAATATGTACCCCTTAAGGCTTTACAGACCCTGTTTTTTTTTTTAATTCTTGCAGTAAAAAGAAGCATGTTTACTATTAATTAATAGGAGGAAGTTTGAAGCAGCTTGTAGGAATGGTTTCCACTTGTATTCACTGTTTTTTTCCCCCTCTGTAGGTTGCTGATCAGCTCTGTGCCAAGTATAGCAAGGAATATGGCAAGTTATGTAGGACCAACCAGATTGGAACTGTGAATGACAGGGTAATGGACATACTCTTTAAATATGATGCAGTAGACAGGGTTGTGGGAATGTTATCCTATTGCTTGCATTGATTCTAGTGGGTCCTGCTATATGGCTGAGTTAATCTAGGGTTGCATATTTCATAGAGTGAGAAGGCTTTCTGGCTGGCAGTGCCATCAGCCCCTTACTGCTTCTCTAAACTTCTGTTTGTGAGGTCCCCCTATCTTTTGTGCCCCTTGTGATTTGTGGATGTAGAATCGAGGAGAGGAGTGGATAAATTCAAATGTGGAAGGCGAGGGTATCATCAGTCTTATCAACATCTGGGTCATGTGTAACCAGAGAACGTGAAAAAGGCACGGATTTTGTAATATGTCTCGTGATTGAAAAAACAAATCATTTAACTGTTCTGGCCTGCTTTTTTCTCAACTTACATATTAAAAAAAAGGAACAAAGTTTAAAATTGAGACAAGTTAGGCTTAAGGCTAGTTAGCATAGATGTTAACCCTGGGTCTTTTATTTACAGCTAATGCACAAACTGAGTGTGGAAGCCCCACCCAAAATCCTGGTGGAGAGATATCTGATTGAAATTGCCAAGAACTACAATGTGCCCTATGAGCCTGACTCTGTGGTCATGGTAAGTTTAGAGTCTTTCAGAGTACAAAGGGAAATGAGTCTCTAGATATTATTTTCTTAAAAAATAACCATATTCTTTGCACTAAAGTTTGTGCATGGAAGTTTAAGCCTTTGTCTCCTTAGTGCCTTTTTGGGTAACAGTAAATATGCCTGCATTTCCCAAAGAGTATTTAAGGATCAGATGAGATGAATGATGAAAGCACTTTGAAAAGGTACAAACCTTGTTACAAATACAAAATGGAATTGTTGCTTTTCAATGAATTTCACAGAATTGAAGCAAGAAATGCCCCAAGACCCAGAAAGGATCCTGAAACATTTATTGGGTGCCTGCCCTATACCAGACAGTGCACAGAAAGCTCAGAAATACAGAAATAAAAACAAGGTCACTGTCCTGAAGAGGCTTATAGTGTAAAGAGGGGAAATGTACAAATAATAATCACTCAGTTAAGGTTGGTGGGTGTAGTGCGTGTTTTAGTATGCTGCTCAGACAACCCTCCCCCATCCCAAATAGACACACCTCAGGATAAAAGCATTTATCCTCCCAGCTCTTGAGAATATTGATGACCAGTGCTCATACACAGCTGAGTGCTCCTCCAGCAGTGGCTGTCAGAAGAAAGCTGCTTCATCTCAAGTCTTTCCTTCACGGCAGCCTGTATTTAGTAACTGGGATTTTAGACTCTGCCCCATTTGAAGGCACCTGCTGCAGGCCCATCCCAGCTCCAGAGCTCCCTAAGGAATTGACTGAGCAGTCCTTGTGTCTGTCTGCACAGCAGCCCAGCTTTTCCATTTGCCCAGCCCTGCTTCCTTTACTGCCCACAAGTCTTTATTCCAGGAGACCACTCCAGTAAACTTCCTCCATGCTGATTTGCATCTCAGGGTCGGCTTCTGGGGGACCTGGCCTGCATTGTGGGTTAATGATACGAGTTTCTCTCTTCTTCTCAGGCAGAAGCTCCTCCTGGGGTAGAGACCGATCTTATTGATGTTGGATTCACAGATGATGTGAAGAAAGGGGGCCCTGGAAGAGGAGGAGGAGGAGGGGGTGGTTTTGCAGCACCAGTTGGTGTACCTGACGGAACAGTGCCAGTGCCTATGCCTATGCCTATGCCCATGCCCTCTCCAAGTACTCCTTTTTCCTACCCACTTCCAAAGGGACCAGTAAGTATACATATAAGTGTGGATATAAACTCTAGAAAGTGTAACAGAAGAGGACACAATGACTGTATGAATACACACAAAAGTTGTAGGTTGTTAAGGTTGAACAGTAAGAACATTTGGTATTAGTGATCATATTGTGGAAAAAAATACTGGGATTTGAAGAAAGTTTTTTTGGTTTGTCTGTAGTTAATGCTGTGGAAAATACAGAGAGATGGTATTAGAGAAAATTTTTCTTATAGGTTTACTGGTAAATACCTTTGGGACCTGCTTCAGCCATGCTTCAGCTTCATTCATTTTTTTCCAAAAATGAATACTGCTTATTACCTGGTGGAAAAACTTATTTGTAGACAAAAAGGTGAAGGTCATTACTAGTAATAGGAAAATCTGATTAGAATCTTCCTTTGTAGACATGGAAGCAGTTAATTTAGTAATTTAAAGACTAGCCTTTGGCTATAGATCTTTAAAGATCTGGAATTCTTCTGGGAGTTTTTTTTTCTCTTTTAGGGCTCTTGAAAATATGTATATATTCAATATAAATCGAATATTTACACTGATTATATGTAGTTATTTCTCCCTTACCATACGACAAACCTCAGAAATCGCAAATTGGGGCCATGTCTCTGATGTTACCTTTTTCCTCTTGCAGTCGGATTTCAATGGATTACCAATGGGGACTTACCAGGCTTTTTCCAATATTCATCCACCTCAGATACCAGCAACTCCCCCATCGTATGAATCTGTAAGTGCTTGAGCCTCTTTTGTAAGCAGCAGGAGAGTGACTCCCATGAAGAGAGAGCAAAATAATGGCCACAGGGAAGGCAAAGTTTTGATCAATTCCTAGTACCATCATTGCTCTTGCTTTGGATTCTTGTGTTGCTTTAACGTTACCCTGGAAATTGGGTGGTGGCGGCTGCGGCATTATCATTGGTGGCAATGCTTTGCAGTTAAGCCAGGAATCAGGAAGGAGCCGAAGGTCTCTTAGAAAGTTCCAGTAGTGCACTTGCCTAGTCTTTTTTTTTTCTTTTTTTTCTTTTTTTTTTCTAAGGCAGAGAATTGTATTGAGTTGGTATAGTCTTGGTGTTAGAATATGATAGTTATGATAGTTAAAATACCAGTTTTATGAATTCAACACTGTGTAAAGGAATAGTGGCCAGATTTTTTTCTTAAATAGAAGTGTCCACTTAATAAATTTCAGCTGATAGCACTAATTTTACATTTTAGTTTTGTAGATAAAACTTGTTATAAATATGATAGTCATGTCTTGAATCATTGGTGGTTGCACAGCTTTGATTCCAAATTAGAGGTCTCCTTTTCTGTCAGCCTTGTTTCGTTAGCTAGTATGTGTCTTTTGAGACCTATTTCCTTCCATCTGATGAATTACAGAGAAAACAAATCGGTATGACATTTGCTGGCAGCTCCTCCTGTTCCTGAATTTCTTTAGTGCTCTTTCCTTTAGTTTTTCCCTTGGGCCTGGGTTTTTCTTAGTTTTGGTCTTGCATGCACTGAAGCATTGTACACAACTGTATCTAGGAATGAGGTGGAAGATCTTCAGTATTTGAGGACTTGGTTCTTGGAGATGAATTCAGTTGGTTAGTGTTTTCTCTCTGCCCAGAAGGTGAAGGTATCAAAGAGAGGTGTGGTGGTGTGGTAAGAATTTCCTTTTTCTCTGCTTGGTGGTTAAGAATTTAATGTTGTATCTTTCTAGTTGGAAGATCAGAAAAGGTGTATAGGGAGTGGAGCGGCAGTTTCTTTGGAGCGGTTCTGTTGCTTCTGCTTAGCTTTTGGAAAACACAAGGGCTTATACCAGTATCAGTACTTTATTGAGTAATGCCATTGCTTTCTCTCCTGGTAATATTTGTGTTTCAGGTTGATGACATTAATGCTGATAAGAATGTCTCTTCTGCACAGATTGTTGGTGAGTGTGAGTCAGAAACCCTCAGTGCTGAGAATGAATAATTCTCATTATTTCATGTCCATGGCATTTTACCCACATGCCCTATCCTTTCCCCGAGTGTAGTGTGACAAAAATATAACTCAGGATTTCCCTTGTCCATAAAGAAAATACCTTTCTGGCCCCAGAGAGTCTTACAAGTTCCTTGTTTCTGAAACAATACTTGAAAAAATACAGAGAAGTATATATTTTGATGAGTTTTGATTTTATATAACAGTGACCTTGGTAAAGGTAAAGAAAGTTTCCATCACCCCAGAAAGTTCCCTTATATTCCTTCCCAGTCCACTCTCTACCCTGGAGGCAAACACTGTTCTTATTTTCTAAAACTATAGCTTAGGTTTGCCTTTTCTAGAACTTAGATATAAATGGAAATGTATAGTAGGTAGAGTGGGGGATAATTTTAACTTGTAATATACAAAATGGAAGACTGGAAATTCAAATTCTGTTATATCAAACAATATAGACATTAATATTCCTTATAAAGTTTTTCTTCCCTTAAGCCTTAAAAGAGTGGCTCATTCCAACAGAATTTTAGTGCCACCCCTTGGACTTTGTTGTTATGGGAGCAGACCTTTGTGAAAGGGGACAGTCTGAAAGAATACATTGTGTACCTACTCCCATGTACCACACCTGGAACTTCCCCTAATCTTTTTTCTTACCATAGAAAAGTAAAACAGATAAGATTCAACTCTATTAAGAAAATGTAGATATTAATTGTACTGAAAATTTTTATTTTCTTTTGTTTTAAAACCAGTGTTTTTCTTCTGTATTTTGATTGCCTTATTGTTTCTGCCAAAGGGAATTGTGGGCTTTGAGGATCTGAGCCACTTCTCTGGCATTTTTAACACTGTTCTCACCCTCATTTAATTAGGTCCTGGGCCCAAGCCGGAAGCCCCTGCAAAGCCCCCTTCCAGACCTGTGGACACCTATGACAACTTTGTACTACCAGAGTTGCCATCTGTGCCAGACACACTACCAACTGCATCTGCTGGTGCCAACACCTCAGCGTCTGAGGACATTGACTTTGATGATCTTTCCCGGAGATTTGAAGAGTTAAAAAAGAAAACATAGATCTCGTAAATCAGGCAACTTTCAGGCTGTGGGATTTGAGACTGCACTGTTTCTCCTTGTAACAAAGAATCTCCATGAAAATTTGTTTCATCTCTTAACCATCACTGAGCACACTTTTCCTCTGGGCTCTCTTCCTGCTCTACATTCTGCTGCTTTCCAGTTCTCTGTTGCTCTTAAGAGACTAACAGTTAGAGACAATGAGGCCAGAACAGCCTAGGCAGCCTTGCTTGTTCGTCTCCTTTGAGTGTGATCCCAGGTTCTCCCATCACCTGTCCTTCTGTCCCTCCGCAGGGAAAAGGTGAAAGCATTATAAGGAGAGCTGCCAAAGATGGCTGGATATGGAGGACAATACTTCATGAAGTCTCTCAGTCCTGTGCTGAAGTTCTAGACTTAGAAACAAACCCCTCTGTACAGAGGGATTTGTGGTGAGCAAGAATCAAGGCAAAGGTGTGATATGAATGGGAAGAGAGACTGACTCTGGAAGCCTCTGTAACAGTTCTTGGAATCTGGGTCCTCTCATTGGCATACACACTACTCCTTGCTGCAGGGCACTGCTCTACCTGGATCCAGTTGCAAAGTTTATTTGGAAAGTTGAAGGCTTCTCTTAGTTCTGCTGGATTCTCAGGGAGCCCTCCGTGGCCTTTTGCTTTGAGTGCTGTGTTCCCCTTTTACCAGAGGGCAGCACTGCATAAATTCCTGTTTTTCCCCATAGCATGTTCTGTTGGATTGCATTTAGTGGCAAACGAAGGACAGGTCACATGTTGGGCAGAAGTCACCATTCAAGGCTAAGGTGGGCTTCCAGTTGCCTTAATAGAAGTACTCAAGTCTCTTGGGTAGTGAGCTGGAATGCCTACAGGAGAAGAGGGGTTCTTGTTTTCATTTGAAAACTTTGATTAAGAGAACCATTAAAGGCTGATTTCAGATAAGTTTTTTGGTGCCCATAAAAAATGTGGCTGTAGTTGTTCACTACTTTCTTAGATGGATAAGACTATTACTGTTGTAACTTAACGTGCTCCTTTTCCCATAGGTAAGGATATCCTTCCCCAGAGGGATGGTTTTGGGATCAGAAGGTAGGACTCTGGCTTATGTGTAGTGTAATGTATATACCTGTTTCAAGCAACTTCAGTGTTTTTGATTGGTTTGTATCTCATAGCTCAGTAGCTGATAATAAAGTTAAAAATTCTGTGCCTTGCTTTCTCCACTGGTTTGGTCAAACAGTGAGGTGCATATTTGGATTTTAGTGGAGAGTATTTTAAGCAGTGACCCATGCTGGGCACAAGCCAGACCTTACTCTTTAATTCCCTGGGTAATGTGGATGTCTGCAGCATCAAGAAGCCCATTTCAATCTCTGTGTGTGGGTTTTTTTTTTTTTAATGTTTATTTTTGCAAGACAGAGTGAACAGAGGGGGGGCAGAGCGAGGACACAGAATCCTAAGCAGGCTCTGCACTGTCAGCACAGAGCCCAACATGGGGCTCGAATCCACAAACTGTGAGATCACAATCTGAGCTGAAATCAAGAGTCAAATGCTTAACTGACTGAGCCACCCAGGCGCCCCTCTACTTGTGTATTTAAGCCTAGATAGCATTTGTGAATTTGCTTGGTTACTCCTCTGAGACAGGGATCCCCATTTGCCAGACCTCACGCTTTTATCTTTAAAATAAGCTGTTGTCAGGGCGCCTGGGTGGCTCAGTTGGTTAAGTGTCTGACTTCTGCTCTGGTCTTGATCTCATGGTTTGTGAGTTCAAACTTCCATTGGGCTCTGTGCTGACAGCTTGGATCCTGCTTCTGATTCTGTTGCCCTCTCAAAAATAAACATTAAAAAAAAAAACTGCTGTGAGCTCATTTCTGATTCATTTATATTTCCCACAGCCATGCTGAAACATTGATGATGAGTATTTTTTTACTTGCTGTTTGGCAGCAGAGCTGGATTATTCTGTAGCACACTTAACAGTTTAACCCTTTCCTGACAGTGATCCACAAGCAGAAGAACTTGTAGCCAGGGGAGATTTTGATTCCTCAGTGATTTACAAAATTAACAGTGTATTATAAACATCGATAATTTTCTAAACTGTGCCATGCAAAGGTAAATTATAATATGCTAAGTAGTAATAAGCCAGGCTAGGAAGTAACACGATTAAGATAATTTACCTTTTAAAACTTCAGTGTTAATGCCCATTGGCTCATGTGTTCTGGCGCCGCTGGATTCCTAGCAAACTGTCTGCAGCACCATATATATCAATGTACCTTCTCTCACAGTCTGTTCAAAGACAAAAGGAGAAAAGTGAGGAAATTACAACTGATGCTGATGTTGGAGGGAAAAAGTACCAAAAGATTCCAAAAATATAGTATAAGTAGTAATATTGTTTCCTTTTATGATTTACTGTCAGGCATTGGAGTGTTTCTGCTAAACAGTTGAGGACCAGCTATTTATAGGACAGTGGATATGGAACATAATGTAATCTTGATAAACTGGGTTTCCTATAAAAATGGTTGGCAGGGCTGTGGACACTAATAAAGGGAATATGGCGATACTGTGTATTATGTCCATCTATAATCTTAAGAGCAGCAACAATTGAGCTTTTCCAGTGATACAAGAATCATGACGTTTATATTTCAGTTACTGAGCCAGAGAGTTACCTACCTTAAGGGACTTTGTTTCTTAACCAAAGGCCATGAGGATGACAGAAACAAAAAGGTTAATGATCACAAGTACCATCAAGAGGACACTGGTGATGTTCAGAAAACCCTGGACTGGCAACAACCTGGAAAGAGACAATAAAATTTAGAGTTTAGAGACTGTCCTTTTAATTTCTACTTTAAAAATATGTGTTCTATGCTTATGTTTGGGAAATAGTCACATAAAATATTTGCTGGAAACTCAGGGGAGAAATAAAACTATTAAAAAGGAAAATGCTTTTGAGTGGACAGAAGAGCAAGAATGACAAACTGTGGGTATAAAAATAAATGACTTCACTGCTTTCACAGGTAAACAGGTGAGTCACAATTGCACTCTTAATTGAAAATCCATTTGAGTTATAGCAGTTCTGGAAAGCATAAACATGGAGGCTTGAAAGAGTAGCAAAAGCATATTGAAAAAATACATCAGAAATCATAAAAACGGTCTCTGCTATTCTAAGACCTCTAAACACAGAAGCATTCCAATAAAATTTGCCAAGTTAACCATAAAAACTGGCTTTTTAGTTTTGTTTGTTTGTTTTGTTTTTTTTTATTTAGAGAGAGAATCTCAAGCAAGGCTCCACGCTGCCAGCGCGGAGCCCAATGCAGGGCTCAAACTCATGAACCATGAGATGACCTGAGCCAAAATCAAGAGTTGGATGCTTAACTGAACCAGCCATTTGGGTGCCCCTAGGTTGGTTGGTTGGTTTTTTTTTTTTTTTTAAAGTGTTGTCTTTTCAGCATAAAGAAATCTCTCAAATACAGGGTTACTAGAGTGGTTTCCATAACAATATTTAATGTGTTCATTTTAACAAGTGATGCACTTTTTCCCTTGAAATACTGACTTATTCACTGTTGCCACTAGGGTACTGTTAAAAAACAAAACAGCCCAACTTAGAGGATGAATGTTTATAATAAATACCACTGTGATGGAAATCTGTATGACCAAATACTTCCTAGTAACAATACATCATCCACTTAATTATAGCTATTCTATCTAGGTCAACAGGTAACTTGGGACAATCTGAGACTGTGCTGTAAGACTTTTCCCAATAAATGTACTCCATTTTCCCTTCATGTTGTATGATTATGAGTAAAGCAGAAAAAGGGTTCAAAAAGGACGTGTTAGCAAAAGCTTATTGTGATTGTTACTTCCTTAAGAGCTTTAGTATATAGTGTTCCAAGAGTGAAGGCTTCATTCACCAATTTTTTTTTTTAATTTTTTTTTAACGTTTTATTTATTTCTAGGAGAGAGAGAGCGCGAGCAGGGGATAGTCAGAGAGAGAGGGAGTGAGACTGAAACAGGCTCCAGGCTCTGAGCTGGCAGTCAGCACAGGGCCTGACGCGGGGCTCAAACCCACGAACCGCGAGATCATGACCTAAGCGAAAGTTGGACGCTTAACCGACTAAGCCACCCAGGCGCCCCACGATTTGTTTTTTTCTATCCTAATCAAATCTATATACAGTACAGCCCCAAATCCTCATCTAGGTTTCCTTCTTTCCTCTATCCTTTTTTTAAATTTTAATTAGTCTCCACACCCAATGTGGGGCTTGAATTCCTGGCCCTGAGATCAAGAGTCCTATGCTTTACTGACTAAGCCAGCCAGGCGTCTGCCCCTACTTTATTTTTCATACTTTTAAGAGACTTGTGTCTCTCTTAGGGGGAGAATAATAAGCTGTCTGAAATGAACATTTATTAACTATAAACAAATATTGCAGTTCTTTTTGGAATTCTACCTTTCTACTTTTCTTAAAAGTGTACTTTTGTATGCATCCAAAGAGCCATTGAGACAGAAGCAGCAAATAATGTTAATCTGGGTAGGTTATGAGAGCATAAATTGAGGCCCAGTGTCCTAGCAATACGTCTAAGAATATAAGAAGTGAGGAAAGTAGGCCTAGGTGCTTGAGAAGGACACATTTCTGAAAGTAACAGCCACTCAAATTGTATCCATAGATAGCACCATAAAATGGAAAGGCAAAGGATCTAGACTCCCTTTTCCAGTGTGCAGTGGTACAGAAAGGGCTGCTTTTGTAAGCAATTCTCCCCTGACGTATAATAAACCAAACAATCCTGCAGGAAAACCAGGATGGGGGTTTTCACTTCCTTGTGATGAGAGATTCCAATCAGGAGACCAAAAGCAGTTACTGCTGAGCTGAAAAAAGTTTGGTAGTCTGAGATGCTCCATCCAAACAGCAGGTTAAACTGGAAAGGACAAAGACCAGTCATGAGAGGGTAAACAGTAATGAAGCTGATTTCAGTTCTTTCCCACCTGAGGTGCTTGATGAGGCCAACACAGAACCAAAGGGAATAGAAATCAAAGAAATGCCTTAATGGCTGTTCATATCACTGCCTAAAAGAATCACCCCCAAACACACACAGAAAACCCTATTTTCTTTGTAATTACATAGTATTTTCATATCAATTTGTCCTTTGCATCAACCCCTGAGCTGAATTTTAGGAGATGAGACAAATGTCTGCATTTAAGTCTCATTACTAGTTAAGTATGGAACTACAAGTAAAAAGCAGGTTTCTTCAGTTTTCTCCAAAACTCCTTGCTAACTGGAGCTGATGGTTTCCCATATAGTGCTTTTTCAGGGAGGCAATGTGAGTCCAAGGCCACCACAACATTTAGGAAAAGACAGACACTGGGAACGAGGGCTTAAAGCAATAGCATAGCCTGTCAGCAGAATCAGGATGACCAGCAAGAAACCCGCTACCCCGTCCCACGCATTGCTGAGTGTTCTACCGCTAACCTGTAGCCTGGGATTATGATGCAGCAGGCTCCACAGCTGAACAGTTGCCAGTAGAACCAGGAAGCCCATGAAGTGAATGACTGCTGAGTTTACTTTTATTGCCTCATTGAAGCTGATGAACCTGTACCCAGGAAGGCTGATAGTCACTCAGCTAAAGTGTATGCCATCCACTTCTCCAGCTGAAGTACAGCAGCTGTGCAAAGAGCAAACCTTTCCACTGTGGCCTCTCGTACTTGTGGAGTGAGAGCATTGGCAAAAGGCCATGTATTTGGTTGGGAAATCTTTAGAAGCCCTGATGTACAACCCCTAGGAGATTACTCCAAATTCATCTTGCAAATCAAGGCCAGCCTCATCTACTGCTCTGGTTTGAGTTAAATCTCTCCTCAAAAGGAGGGAGTTAGTTAGCCTAAGGAGATGTGCCCTTATGCTCTGTTTTCTGCAGCATAATTAATCTAATAGGTTTAATAGTACTGAAAGTAGAAAGATGATTGATAAACTGATGTAAGGATGTTATGTGAGAAATACATTCACAATCTTGTGTTGCAACTTGGAAAGACCCCCATAGAAAGAGCAAGTTGGTGCTTGATGACAACTGTTCTAGTGTCTTAAGACCTTGGCAGTGCCAGGGGCGCCTGGGTGGCTTAGTCGGTTAAGCGTCCGACTTTCGCTTAGGTCATGATCTCGCGGTTCGTGGGTTCGAGCCCCGCGTCGGGCTCTGTGCTGACTGCCAGCTCGGAGCCTGGAGCCTGTTTCAGAGTCTGTGTCTCCCTCTCTCTCTGACCCTCCCCTGCTCACGCTGTCTCTCTCTCTCCTAGAAATAAATAAAACATTAAAAAAAAATTAAAAAAAAAAAAAAAAGACCTTGGCAGTGCCATATAGCAAGATGGACCTCAGCTGTTAACACCATTTAAACTGCACAGACCCACTGCCTGCATAAAGACCCTCTGTAAGGCTGAGCTGGGACATTGCTTCATTACACAGATCAGCAGTCCAGACTACTGACCACTAAAAAAGTCAAGTACCACATGGCAATACTTGGTCTAGGAAATAGATGCTCTTCCCCATGGGAAAGACCAGAGAAGGTGCCCAAAGGGGCACCAGAATGTCTCTTAAATAATGGATAAACATCCAATCAGAAAACAACCCTCTTTGGATTTAAAAAAATGCACTGTATTGCGGTTTTGTTTAAAGCATGATCGTTTGACATGCCTTAGGCTTTATTCTTTGGTCAGGGTGCAAAATATGACTACTTCCAGGTCCTTGCTGTGTGAAATTTGAATGTATTATCCTTGACAAACACATACCTGAGTATTAGGAAGGCAGAGGAGCTTTTCAATATGGTTAGCAGTTTAAATGGTCTATTGTTAACTGTTTTCTCAACTGTGGACATTAGTTGGTGTTCTGTGTTTAACTCTGGTACACAAACAGGTCTGCTGTAGAGCACTGGGAGAGGAAGGGAGTTTGAAAGAATACTTGTGTGTAATCAGGAAACTTTGGACATTGACTAGGAATAGCCTTTGCTCCTCAATCTCCTTCTTACTTGTTACGGTCATAGTGGTATTGTGCCATGTTTTTCTTGTGCAGAGAAGTAAGCTTCATGTCAAGACCCAGGATGACAAAGCTAATGAGGATTATGCTTGTGTTCAGGATGTATCTTTTCCTAGTGAAGAACCACCACCTCAACGGTTGCAGCTGATGATTCTAAACACAGACACCACAGTCACTACTGCTTGCCTTAAAGATTGGCCAGGTCTCTCCCTAATGAAGTATTTTAACACATAGTTAAATATAGTGGCAAAACACTAAGCTGGGCACTTGTCAAGTCTAACTTGAACACATTGGGTTATGGTCTTGGTCTGTTCTGAAGTCACTCAGAGCCACTGCTTAAAGAAAAGTTAGCCTTGGGGCGCCTAGGTGGCTTAATCGGTTAAGCGTCTGACTTTCGCTTAGGTCATAATCTCGCGGTTTGTGGGTTCGAGCCCCGCGTCGGACTCTGTGCTGACTGCCAGCTCAGAGCCTGGAGCCTGTTTCAGTCTGTGACTCCCTCTGTCTCTGACCCTCCCCTGCTCACGCTGTCTCTCTCTCCTAGAAATAAACATTAAAAAAAAAAAAAAGAAAAAAAAAAGCCTTCTCCACTATAACTTTCATTGGATACATTCATTATTTCATTCTTGTTGCTTAAATTTTAAAAAGTTTCCAAATTAGTTTTCAAGCTGGAAAATAAGACAGATTCTCTCTTTTGGTGCAATTACCTATACTTTTGAATACTTGCTCTGTTCATATTTTCAATTCTTACTATTACCTTATATAGGGATAATGCAACTGTGTAAAAATATTCTTTCTAGAGATTAATCCCTTAACTCTTGAAAACTGGAAGAGCTCCTTGGTGGAAAGCCAGTCAGTCTTTAACTGAACTCAAGCTCTGGAAAGGACCAAAGCCCTAGCCCTAATTCTAGTAATAGCTAATTCCCCTCATAACATCTGGAAACTTTGAAAATTTCTTCCATCTGACACTTTCAATTCACTTGTGCAAAGGCATAGTAACAGAGTAGGAGATAATACAGGACTTGTGCGATGACAGACCAGGCAAAGTCCTTCTTGGACGCCTGAAGGGAACTTACAGTGTCCAGCCTCAGAGAGGTGAAGCATGCTCCTGAGAACAACAAAGAATACCTAGAGTCAAGAGTCTTTAAAGCTTGTGCCCTCTTCCTTTCAAACTCTGTCTTTGAAATCAGTGCAACTGTTCCTGAATTATCTACTTCAAATGTTCCTGAATCTCTACACTTTACTTGGTATTTCCTCTAGAGCTGTCATTAGATATTAGCTGAGATCATGCATGTAGAACTACTGGATAAATGTGCTGGCTACACTAGTCAGTAGAGGGAACGGGTATACTGGTGACGCAACCACGAGGGCAGTGGTGCAGAGATACAGTGACTAGTTGTATTCTTGCAGTATGTTTGGAAGAGAACTGATGACTGGTGTAAAGTGTGGGGAGAATGGAATTTAAAGCTATTTAAAATATATTTTCAGAAATTAGTATGATGAAAGTGCTTTGAGCCATTTCAAATTTACTTACTAAGTGTGAAGCACAAATATCTCACAATACTATTAGTATCCTGTGAATACTCAGATGTTTCTATGATAGACTAAAAAGCTTCAGATTCCACCTAGAAAGACCTTTGTGTATAAAATCATGACAGGTCTTGTGACTATAAACTTTCATAAAGCCCCAAAATATTAAAATTAAGATGTGTCCCTTATAGTAGAAAGTATATTTAAAAATAAAAGGAATTCCCACTTCACAGAGTTAGCTCTTAAGACTGGGACTTTCCCTAGCATCAGCCATCAGACAACAAAAGGAAATCAAAGGCATCAGAATTGGCAAAGAGGAAGTCAAACTTTCACTCTTTGCAGATGACATGATACTCTACATAGAAAACCCGACAGACTCCACCAGAAGCCTACTAGAACTGATCCAAGAATTCAGCCAAGTTGCAGGGTACAGAATCAACGTACAGAAATCAGCTGCATTTTTATACACCAACAATGAAGCAACAGAAAGAGAAATGAAGAAACTGATCCCATTCACAATTGCCCAAAAAACCGTAAAATACCTCGGAATAAACCTAACCAAGGATACAAGAGATCTGTATGATGAAAACTATAGAAAACTTATGAAGGAAATTGAAGAAGACACAAAGAAATGGAAAAACATTCCATGCTCATGGATAGGAAGAATAAATATAGTTAAGATGTCATTACTACCTAAAGCACTCTACACATTCAATGCAATTCCAATCAAAATTGCACCAGCATACTTCTCAAAACTAGAACAAACTATCCAAAAATTTGTATGGAACCACAAAAGACCCCGAATAGCCAAAGTAATACTGAAAAATAAAACCAAAACGGGAGGTATCACCATCCCAGACTTCAGCCTCTACTACAAAGCTGTCATCCTCAAGACAGTATGGTATTGGCACAAAAACAGACACATAGACCAATGGAACAGAATTGAGAACTCAGAAGTGGACCCAAAAGTATACAGCCAACTGATCTTTGACAAAGCAGGAAAGAATATCCAATGGAAAAAAGACAGCCTTTTTAACAGATGGTGTTGGGAGAACTGGACAGCAACATGCAGAAGAATGAAACTAGATCATTTTCTCACACCATGCACAAAAATCAACTCAAAATGGATAAAGGACCTGAACGTGAGACAGGAAACTATCAACACCCTAGAGGAGAAAGCAGGAAACAACCTCCTTGACCTCCACCGCAGCAACTTCTTACTTGACACATCCCCAAAAGCAAGGGAATCAAGAGCAAAAATAAACTGTTGGGACCTCATCAAGATTAAAAGCTTCTGCACAGCCAAGGAAACAACCCAGAAAATTAATAGGCAACCAACGGAATGGGAAAAGATAGTTGCAAATGACATATCAGATAAAGGGTTAATATCCAGAATCTATAAGGAACTCACCAAACTACACGCCCGAAAAACAAACAACCCAGTGAAGAAATGGGCAGAAGACATGAACAGACACTTCTCCAAAGAGGACATCCAGATGGCCAACAGACACATGAAACGATGCTCAGCATCCCTCCTCATCAGGGAAATACAAATCAAAACCACACTGAGATACCACCTCACGCCAGTCAGAGTGGCTAAAATGAGCAAATCAGAGAACTCTAGATGCTGGCGAGGATGTGGAGAAACGGGCACCCTCCTACACTGTTGGTGGGAATGTAAACTGGTACAGCCCCTCTGGAAAACAGTGTGGAGGTTCCTCAGGAAACTAACAATAGAACTCCCTTATGACCCAGCAATAGCACTGCTAGGAATTTACCCAAGGGATACAGAAATGCTGAGGCATAGGAGCACATGTACCCCAATGTTCATAGCAGCACTCTCCACAATAGCTAAAACATGGAAAGAGCCTAAGTGTCCATCAACGGATGAATGGATCAAGAAGATGTGGTTTATCTATACCATGGAATACTACATGGCAATGAGAAACAATGAAATCTGGCCATGTGTAGCAACATGGATGGACCTTGAGGGTGTTATGCTGAGCGAAATAAGTCAGGCAGAGAAGGACAAATAACACGTTTGCACGTATAGGAGGATTGGGAGGAACTTAACTGAGGAACAAGGGGGAGAAGAAGGGCGGAAATGGTGGGGGAAAGAGAGAGAGGCAAACCATAAGAGACTCTTGAATGCTGACAAAAACTGAGGACTGATGGATGTGGGGGGGAGGGGGGGATGGGCATGGAGGAGGACACTTGTGGGGATGAGCACTGAGTGTTATGTGGAATCTAATTTGACAATAAACTATTTGTAAAAAAAAAAAAAAAAAAAGACTGGGACTTTCCCATGTTTACTTTATGCCTTTTTATAATCACTATTTTATGGTAGTTACTACTAATGAAAAATCCTATGAAGACCTACAGGAAGCCTTCATGCTTCATCTAGAAATAAATATAGAAGTATAAAATTCCTGATTAGATGTAACACCTGGTGGTAAATGGAAGGATACTAGGGGGCAAATTCTGGGGAAGAGAAGGACAAAAAAGGAAGTTTGATTAGGACAGACTTTCTGTCAAAGGTAGGGGACCTGAATATACTAGTTTTCCTATAATCCCTAATTAAAAAAAAAAAAAAGCCACTACAATAATAGTGGAGGGATAAAGAACAACCCAAAGAAAAAGAGGAGGGTAGAGAGCAATAAACTGCTGGAAGCTGGACAATGAGAATGACACTGACAGCAGATTCAATCAAGCTGAAACCTAAGTTTAGAAGTGTATAAAACCCAGAAGCAAGCCTAGAAAGGAAAATTACAGGCATCAGGTATTTCTGAAAGTCTTATCATGTGGAACTGAAAACAGAAGAATTGATTGCAGATCTGAACATAAGCAATTAGATCCCAGATTTCCTCCCTCTTCAATCACAATGAGGTACCTGCTACCCATCCTGCCTTCCAACACCCTAAAACTAAAGGTTTATTTCCTACTGATGTTGAACTAGAGAGAATCTGAAGTCAGGGGTGCCAGGTATGGTCTACTAGGAAAGAAGAGAAGGTTTTTATACTCATGGTGAGATGCTTCCCAGGCCCCTTTCTCCACAGGTTCTGAGAGGTCCAACAAACCTATATCCTCAAGGCTGGAGTTTGGAGCATCTCTCTATGTGAAAACTGTCCCACAGACCTAGATAACAGTTGACAGGCTCTTTCCATGCGCAAAGAGCTTCTAAATAGCATTTAATTGCTTTTCACTGCCTCCCTCATCAATATGAAAAACTGGTCACATATTTGAACCTCTAACACTGAAAACTGGAGATCAAAACAAAACAACAACAAAAAAATAAAAGCTTGGCAGCTCTTTCTGCGTAAGGCTCCTGTCTCTGTGCTTTAATAACATCACTAAAGAAATAAATAAAGCATGGAGGCATCAGAGAAAGTGAAGGAGTAGGGGAGGGGAAAAAAAAAAACAACCCTGTAACATCCTCGGAGTTGAGTGGATACTGCATCCGTAAAAGAATAGGATACTATGAAAAAAAATACAACAGCAAACACAGTTCTTGAAAATTAAAATATTATAAAGACGAATACTTCAACTTCCAAACCATTTCCAAACCTTTTACTGAACTGATCTCCCAGAAACTAGAAGAAAAAGGTGGAAAAGCAAAAACAAAATCAAACGATGAGCCTGGTCATTCCAATGTCAAAATGCCAGGAATACCAGAAAAACAGAACAGAGAAAAATAGAGAAAAAGTTAATAGAAATCTGTAAGAAAATTTCTCAGAGCTTAAGGACACATTTCCAGATTAAAAGACACCATGAAGAAAGAGAAAATTCTAAAAACTTTTGAGAGGTGGGGGCATCAGACATCATTATACATTTTAACAACAACCTGAGAAGCTAGAAAGCAATGGAGCTTATTTTTCAAAATTCTGTTTCCAGAATTATTAGCAATAAAATGTGGCAGAATAACATTTTGGGATGTGGAAGGCTTCAAAAAATTAACTTCCTTTGCACCCTTGCAGTAATTTCCTAGAGGATGTGCTCCAGCAAAATGATAAAGTACACCTGGAGAGGAAAAATGGAGTCCAGGAAAAAGGCGATCCAGCAAAGGAATCCTTAGAGGTCAAGAGAATCCTTAGGGAGATTCCAGAATGAGTGCTGTACAGCAGGCCTAGAAAATAACCAATCCGGGGGTACCTGGGTGGCTCAGTCAGTTAAGCGTCCGACTTCGGCTCAGGTCATGATCACACGGTTCGTGGGTTCAAGCCCTGTGCTGAAAGCTAGCTCAGAGTCTGGAGTCTGCTTCAGATTCTGTATCTCCCTCTCTCTCTGACCCTCCCCTGCTTACAGAGTCTCTCTCTCTCTCTCTCTCTCTCTCTCTCAGAAATAAATAAAAAACATTAACATTTTTTTTAATTTTAAGAAAAATTAAAAAAAAAAAAACCAATCTGTATTGTACCAAAAGGATAGAGGGCCCTAGAGAGGTCCTTTTAACTTTTGAAAGATAAAATGACAGGTTATTACTTGACACTTTTTGAACAGAATGAGATTTTTACTTTTGGAGGAATTTCGAGATGACTCAATGATAGATCCATGAAAAACCAGATGAAAAAAAAAAGGTGGTAATTATAAACTCTAAGGAAAAAGTAGAAGAAATTTAATTGTAATACATGGCTCATCTTTGAAAAATCATTTATATAATCACAATTTATGGTTTAATATTTATTTTCATTATTACTATACTGGGATAAGGAAAGAGAAAACGTGTGTGTGTGTGTGTGTGTGTGTGTGTGTGTGTGAGATATGCACTGGATATAAGAAAGTTAAATGTTCATTATTACAGGAAGAAAGAAATAGGTAATACCTAAAACTAAAAATTCATGAAAAAGGTTATCATATTAATTTTTAAATTTCAAAGAACTGGTTTAAAAAGCTGGAAGGAGCTTTCTCTTGGGGAGGGGAAGTCAGGTGGGGAGGAAGAAAGGACTGCTAGTTTTGCCTTGAACTATTTGACTTTTAATAACTTTGTTTAAAATAATGTCTTTTAATGGTATAAAGAAACAGCCTTCTGTGATGTGCAGGTCAGAGAGAGAGGGGAGTAGAGACTTTCATACCCATGTTGTTGGACTCCAAAATCAGGGTCAGTGCACACAACTGGTCCACAGTGGCACTGAAGACCACAAATTCCACAAAGAGGCTTGTAGTGCAATGGTCAAGCCAGTGGCTCTGTTCAAGATGCTGCAGAACTCTGGGAAGATGGAGAAGCACACGGCCAGCTACTTTCTCCATTCAACCCTGCCAAGGAGAAAAATGCCCTGGCATCTCCAATATCACCTTCCTTCCTACCAGTAGTATGCAAAAAGCTACATTTCCGAATCTACTTTACCTATAAAATACTGTTACTAATGTTCAAACTTTCACTAGTGTTAGTTGCCGCTAATATAAACTTGGAAAGCTATAAAGATGAAGGTTTTCATAACAGCATTCACACCAAGGTTAAATGTTCAAGAAAACATATTTGGCATTTAACATCTAAGGTAGAATTAATTTTATGCCAACTACTTATTACTCTACTACTACTTCTAAATGTTAAATGCTACTCTTTACTAACAGCTATTCAGGTTTGTGAGGGATGGAAATGTCGTCATTTGGTTGGCATTGCTGTTTTGTTTAATTTCAGACACAGAGAGAAAGAGCGTGAGCAGGGGAGAGAGAATCTTAAGCAGGGAGTGTGGAGCCTGACACAGGGCTTGATCCCATGACACTGGATTCATGACCTGAGCTGAAATCAAGAATTGGATGCTCGACTGACTGAACTGCCCAGGCAGCCCAGCATCATTCTTTCTTGAGTAAATTCTTACTGTAAATTTAAATGAAGAGACAATTTAAGGTTTTATATATGATAGCAAAGATTCTTATCACATGCACGTATTAAACCACTCTACAGATTTCTGTCAATTTAACTTTGAATCCTGGATTGATTATGGTTCATAAAGGGCAACGTTGTCTCTTAAAATTGAAGATTATAGTTTGCCTAAACTAGAGACACCTGGATTGAAATTGGTAGGTGTTTTTTCAGAGGGGGGGGGGAAGTTTTGGCAAACTGCCAAAACAAAACATACCTACAGTTTGAGGTTGAACAAGGAATTTTTAAACTAAAAGATGTATTTCCTTAATGTCTAAAAAGTATCTACAAGTGTTAGAGACAGCAGAGTAGCATTTGGTGGCTGTAGAAATTACTCAAATAGGTCCTTAATTCCTAATTGCCCTAAGAACGGACAAAAGCACACATCCTGGTTCTCTCTCCAGGGCTCGGGCTTGCTCACCTGACTGTAGTACTGGAGCTTCTTACAAGTCCCACAACATACCCTCCTCGTGAGTAACTGGCAAATTCCCCTTGGATAGGGTAGCCACCCAGTATCTCTTGATCCTAGTAATGCCAAATGTGACTTTGTGATGTTCGTATCCGGGGAGCCCCAGTTTACTCCGTTATTCTCTGTATCCTCCTGATCTTGCTGAGATGGCTTCACTTGTTCATGGGGAGACACTCCAGCTGGAAGAACTATGGCACCAGGAACATGAATCTGACAAAGCAAAACATTGCCCAAAAGAAAGGAGTTTACATCAGTAATAAATCCTAATGAGAGTACTAGAAACCACTTTTTAAAATACTTCATTAAGTTAGTAACAGAAAATGCACATTTTCACTACTATTTTAAACAACAGGGGGAGCCTGGGTGGCTCAGTCGGTTAAGTTTCCGACTTCGGCTCAGGTCATGCTCTCACGGTTCGTGGGTTCAAGCCCCGCATCGGGCTCTGTGCCGACAGCTAGCTCAGAGCCTGGAGCCTGTTTCAGATTCTGTGTCTCCCTCTCTCTCTGACCCTCCCCTGCTCACGCTGTCTCTCTCTCTCTCTCTCTCTCTCAAAAATAGATAAAACATTTTAAAACATGGAAACCTTAAAAAGACAACAACAACAGAATTTGGAATATCTAGCTAATGCAACCAGACAAGACGACGAAATACAAGCTCTAAAAATAAGGAAGTGAAATGATCACAATTTGCAAGTGATACATAGATGATCTAGATAAACCAATGGGAATCATCTAAAAGCCATCAGTAAGATGGAGAAACAGGAGGCCCTCTGCTTGTGTCTCCTCTTAGCAACAATAATTCGGCAGCCATTCACAGAAAAAAGTGTGTTTGTGGGAGCCTTGGGATCCAAAGGTAAAGAACTGTGAAACCCCAGTGGAGTACAAGATGGACAAAAGGCCATTCTGAGAAGGCAGGTCCACGCCCAGGTGGCTGACTCACAAATTGTGGTCCCGACGACACACCCAGAAATAGCTCTGTCCTCCATGCACTTGGCTACAGCACCTTTCCATCTTGGTCCTGCCACCCGCACCATACACCAAGAGACTCAGGAGTCATTCCTGCCTTTGTCTTGGATAATAGGTCTGCAGACCTCAGCCCTGACTGTGGACCATGACACAGCCTGTGACCCAGTGCTAGTCCCTCTCAGCCACAGTTCAAAAGTTCCTGGAGACAAGCTCACCAAATTCATTGAAATGGCCCTCAACTGGACTCCAGCCCATTTTGGCTGCAGTACATGAGCAGTTGTGCCAGTCCAGAGACTTGCTGGGGGACACATCTGTTAGCCTACCAACCTTGTCTGAGTCTGGATCCTGAAACTCCCTTCTAACTTGGCTCCAGGCCATCCCAGCCATGGTCAAGGGGCAGCCCTTCCCATGGAGGGATTGGGTAGGGGACACACTCATCCATCCCTCCAGAACCAAGTCTGTAGACATCGGTCCTGGCTGTGGATCCTGAAGAGCCCTGAGAGGTAGTTCCAGTCCTTCTCAATCACAGTCCAGGGTCCATCCCACTTGCCTAGGGACCCAGCAGGAGCCCTCCCAGGAATCTGGTGGAAGCGACATTCATTTTTGCACCTGGTAATAGGCTTGCTATATGCCAACTCCAAAGCAGACCCTTGTCCCAGTGCTAGCCCTACTGAAGTTGTGGAGTCAGTCCTGTCCACCCAGAAACCAGACAGAACCCACACCCACCTAATCCCTTGGTAACAGGCCCACAAATTGTGAACCCCATTGCAAATATAACAATAGCCAAAAGACATGGCTCCATCCCAGCTCAACTTAGATTCTGGAGGTAATTTCATCAGCCTGGGGAAATGACAGATGAACGTCTTTGCTTGCCAAAACCAGTCTGTAAAGACTGGAAACTGTGTTTGCTCCTTCAAATGCATAAATACCAATGCAAAACTATATGGATCACAAAGAATAACCCCAAAGAAATGGAGATCTATGAACTGCCTCGCAAAGAATTCAAAATAATCATCTTAAAGAAACTCAGTGGAATACATGAGAAAACAAATAAATGAAATTAGGAAAACAGTGCATGAACAAAATGGTAATTTTAAGTTAGTTTATTTTGAGAGAGAAAGAGAGAGCACATGTGCAAGCAGGGAGGGGAGATGCAGAGAGGGAGGGAGAAAGAGAATCCCAAGCAAGCTCTGTGCTCTCAGCACAGAGCCTGACACAGGGCTTGAAGTAATGAACCATGAAATCATGACCTGAGCAGAAATCAAGAGTTGGATGCTTAACCAACTGAGCCTCTGAGGTACCCCAAAAATGGTAATTTTAATAAAGAAACAGAAACCACAAAAAAGAGGGGTGCCTGGTGGCTCAGTCGGTTAGGTGTGTGACTTCAGCTCAGGCCATGATCTCACAGTTCATAGGTTCAAGCCTCACACTGAGCTCTGTGCTGACAGCTCAGAGCCTGGAGCCCACTTCGAATTCTGTGACTCCCTCTCTTTCTGTCCCTCCCCCGCTCATTCTCTATCTCTCTCTGTCTCTCAATGATAAATAAATGTTAAAAAATTTTTTTAAAAAGAACAAATTCTGGAACTGAATAATACAGTACTAGAAATGAAAAATTCAATACAAAGCTTCAACAGCAGACTTGATCATGCAGAAGAAAGAATCAGTAAATTTGAAGACAGGTCATTTGAAATTAGCCAGTTCAAGGAACAAAAAAATGATTAACAAAGAGTGAAGAAAGCCTATGTGAATTCTGGACATTGTCAAAAGAACAAATACACATATTATGGGAAGCCCAGAAAAAGGCAGAAAAATAGATGAAAACTATCCAAATTTGGGTAAAGATCTATAAACATGTAAGTACCAGAAGCTCAAAGGACCCCAAGTCAGATCAACCCAAAGAAGATTATCCTGAGACACATTATAATCAAACTGTTAAAAGTAAAAGCTTGAGAATTCTGAAAATAGCAAGAGAAAAAATAACTTCACGCACAAAGAACCGTTCCCTCTCCTGCACCCCCCCCCCCCAAGGCTATCAGATTTCTCAGCAGAAACGTTGCAGGCCAGAGAGAGCAGAGTGATATAGTCAAAGTACTGAAAGAAAAAAAAACCCTGCCAACCAAAACCACTAAATCTAACAAAACTGTCCTTTGGAAGTGAGGGAGTGATAAAACCATTCCCAGACTTGCAAGATTAGGGTAGCTCATTACCACCAGATCAGTCTTACAGGAAATGCTAGAGGGAATTCTTCAAGTTGAAAGGAAAGGATGCTATATAACAAAAGGAAAGTATACAACTCACTGGTAAAAGTAAATACATAGTCCAATTCAGAATATGGCAATAATATAATGGTGTGTAAATCACTTTTACCCCTAGTATAAAAGTTAGAAGACAATAGTATTAAAAATAACTACCACTGCAATAATTTGTTAATGGATGACAATATAAAAGGAAGTAAAGTGTGACATCAATTGTATAAAGTGCAGGGAAAGGAGAAGAAAAAGTGTAGAGGTGTTTGTGTGTGTGTGCGTTTTAACGTGCAGGCAGCACAATCTTGTTTATTTTTATTTTTTAAAGTAATCTCTACACCCAATATGGGGCTTGAACTCATAACCCTGAGATCAAGAGTAGCATGCACTACTGACTGAGCCTGCCAGGCACCCCCAAAGGATACAGTATTTGTATGTGTTGAACATAAGTTGTTATCAGCTTAAAACAGACTGTTATAATTATAGGATGTTTTATGTAAACCTTATGATAACTGTATAGCAAAATCTATAGTAGATAACAAAAAAGATGAAGGGAAGGGAATTAAAGCACACCACTACAAAAAATAAGTAACAAAGGAAGACAGAAACAGAGGAAAAAAGGAACAAAGGAACTGCAAAATAATTGGAAAACAATAAAATGGCCACAATAATTTCTTATCAATAATTACTTTAAACGTTGAGATTAAATTCTTCAATCAAAAGACAGAATGACTGAATGCTAAGAATACAAGATCCAAGGGGCGCCTGGGTGGCTTAGTCGGTTAAGTGTCTGACTTTCGCTTAGGTCATGATCTCACAGTTCGTGGGTTCGAGCCCCGCGTCGGGCTCTGTGCTGACTGCCAGCTCAGAGCCTGGAGCCTGTTTCGGATTCTGTGTCTCCCTCTCTCTCTGACCCTCCCCTGCTCACGCTGTCTCTCTCTCTCTCTCTTTCCTAGAAATAAATAAAAAACATTTAAAAAAAAAAGAATACAAGATCCAATAATATACTGCCTATAAGAGACCCACTTTAGTTTTAGGTACACACACAGGTTGAAAATGAAGTCATGAAAAAAAGATATTCAATGCAAATGGTAACCAAAAGAGAACAGAAGTAGCTCTAACTTATAACAGGTAAAACAGAATTTCAGTTAAACTCAGGCACAACAGACAAGGGAGGTCACTTGTGATAAAATGATAAAGGGCTCATTTCAAACAGTGAACAAAACAATTATAAATAGGTACGCACCCAAGGAATAAATAGACAGCAATACAATAATAGTAGAGGACTTCAACAACCCACTTTCAACAATGGGTAGATCATCTAGACAGAAAATCATTAAGGCAACAGCAGACTGGTTACCACTATGGACCAAATGGACCAACAGATATATACAGAACACTCCATTCAACCAGAATACTTGTTCTTCTCAAGGGCGCATGGAATATTCTCCAGTATACACCCTATACTGGGCCACAAAGCAAGCCTTAACAAATTTAAAGATTGAAAACAAAAATATCAAGTATCTTTTCTGACCACAACGGTACAAAACTAGAAATCAATAACAGGAGGCAAACTGGAAAATTCACAAATATACAGAAATTAAACAATACAGTTCAGAACAAATGAGTTAAATTAGTAATCGAAGGAAAATTAAAAAGTACGTTGAGAAAGACAAAAATGGAAGCATAAATGTTATGCCAAACTTACAGGATGCAGCAAAAGCAGTTCTAAAGTGGAAAGTTTATAGTAATAAATATCTACTTTATGAAAAAAGAAAGATCTCAAACAAGCTAACTTTAGTCATCAAAGAACTAGTAAAAGAACAAAAAGAAAAAAAGAGGATTCAAATAAATAAAATGATTAATGAAAGAGAAGACATTAACACTGATATCACAGAAAAACAAAGGATTATAAGAGACACCATGAACAACTATATGCCAACAAACTGGACAACTTGGAAGAAATGGATAAATTCCTAGAAACACATAACTTACCAACACTCAATGATGATGAAACAAAATCTGAACAGACTAATAACAAGGAGATTGAAG